GCGATACTGTTACTGTCGCTGACACCAGAGGGAAACCTTGGGTGGGGAAAAGTGGATAGGGAAGCTACAAGCCTGCACGGAGCTCCTACACAGAAGCAGTTTTTCTATGCCGTATACGTGCAGCGCATTCCGGTTTGTCAGTGAGATTTACTCAATGTAGGGAATTCTTACCATGTAATTCGTGACAATTCACAGTGTGACGGTCGGGATGAAAACCGTTACCTGTTTCTTCAGTACAGCGTAGCTTGTTGAATCATTGCTGTCCAGACACTCAAAATACAGCTAGTTTGTTTTGCCCATTTTCCCCCTTGTCTGATAGCATCAGGTCAGGATTTCCTGATTTTACTTGGAGTAAATAAGTTACATTTATGACATTGTACCTTAGATTCAGCCATCATTCCATTTTCTTGCCCTCTGATTTTAATTACTCTTTAGGATGGAGATAACCTATACATTCAACATCCATAATAAACGGAATCATTTAGGTTGGAAGGGACCCCTGGAGATCATCTGGTCCAACCTGTCATGGTTGTCCAGGACATGTCCAGGCAGCTTCTTAATATCTTCACAGACGGAGGCTCTACAACCTCTCTGGACAACCCGATCCATTGTTTGACCACACGTACAGTAAAAAAGAGTTTCCTTGCCTTCAGATGAAATGTCACGGTTTTCACCTGGCAGTGGATGCTACAGAGAAGAGTCTGGCTCCCTCCTCTTCATTCCCTCCTATCAGGTATTTATTCAACCTTCTCAGGCTGGACAGTCCCAACCCGCTCAGCCTCTCCTTCTCTGGGAGATGCTCCAGTCCCACCATCATCTTTGTGGCCCTGTGCTGGGCTCGCGCCAGCAAGCCCATGTCTCTCTTGTACTGGGGAGCCCAGCAGAAGACACAGCGCTCCAGGTGTGGCCTCACCAGTGTGGCTGAGTAGAGGGGAAGAATCACTTCCCTCCACCTTCCAGCAATGCTTTGCCTGCTGCAGCCCACGGTGCTGTTAGCTTTTGCCGCAAGGTAACTGATACGACCTGGCTGGTTCCTATCAGGCTGGTTTACTTCTTTATTGGGTAAGATGTCCAGGACACTCAAAATGGTGGCCTTGTGACTCTTTTCATGAAAATTCTATTTGCATAAAGAAGATATTATGGGAATAGCACCAACGTCTCTGGGCCTCTGTACTTGAATTGCTGCGTAAGAAGCTCAGAAGCAGAAAAAAGCTCCTTAGGTGGCAGTCTTGGAACGGTATGGGAGTAATAGGGATTTGAGTTACTGGCAATAATGGAGATAAGTCATGCCGGAAGCCCAATTAAAGCTTTTTCGGGTTTATCCTCCATTTCTGCAGCCTCTGCCATCGTGTCAGTGGGGAAGAATGCAGCTGAGCGTCTGGAACGTGGCTCCGGATGTTCTGGCAGTGCCTGAGCTGGGCTGGAGTCCCGCTTTCCCTTTCTTGGTTGTGGACACTCTGCACGGGTGGTAAAAAGCATGAAGTATGTCATTAGAAGAATCTGCAGCGTTGCCTCTAGTGTGTGGGTAGTGCTTCTGGAAGCTGTCGTGTGTGCAAAATCAACTCTTGTAATAGAGCTGTATTTTAATTTCCTCGTTATTTTTGTTGCAGAAAAAAATTGGTCTCTCAGAAGACCATCCGAAAGCCCGCTGGGAACTATTAGTGTCCTGACTGCACACCTACCAGGGTAAACAAATGCTCAGCTGGAGCCAGGCTACTTAAAACCCACCACCTGTTTATTGCTGGGGTAAACAGGGCTGCTCTCTTGCTTCCCCGAAGAAGACGTTTTATTTTCTCTGTGGCAGAAAGGAGGATGCTGTGGTTCAGTACCACAGATTAGAGATTCTGCCCTATTCAGGTCAGAAGTGGCAGGAGAGAAATTCTTCGTTGAAGTGAGGGTGCTGGTGTTTGAACGTGCTTCATAACAAAGAGGGCAGAAAATGCTTTCTTAACTCTGCGGTTTAAAGCGGTCCTTGATTTTAGGCACATCTGTACAATGAAAGCCACAGGGTCCATCATACAGAAAGCAACAACAGCAATTAAGGAAGTGGGAGGAATGGTCTGGGAAAAGGTTTGGAATAGTTGTAGGATGAGTGTAGCACTTAGACTGGAATGTGACGGGGCTGGGCTCGTTTTTATTGCTCAGACCTCCCTGAGGACCACAGGCCAATTGCCTCTCTCCTGGAGACAGTAACGGCTGAGTTGCCACCCCTGCAGCACCCAGCTCGGAGGTGCCAGCCACCCAGGAGGAACCCAAGAGCTAGAGTTGGGTCCCCACGCTCCCCGCAGAGGATACAGTGGGAAGGCAGACCAAGCATGTCCCTGTGCTGCGAGTGAGGAACTGCTAGGAAGCAGGGGTGAGAGATGCAGGTCTTAACGTCCTGCCCCTGCTCAGCATGGATGCATCTGCCTGCAGCTGGGAAACCGGAGCCTTGTTCCACTTGGGATCCACAGCTCAGAGTTGTCTCAGAGAAAAAAAAGCATTGGATCTTCACCCTCCTCAAAGCCAATATCTGCTTCTAGCAAGGACTAACTAGGACTTTTACTTTCTTTAGCTGCCAAAAACACTAAGACCAACAGCTACGTTTTGTAAAACAGCCTGTTGTGTAAAATACCCCTCACCCTGGAGGCTTGGTTCTGGTGTATTCCTCAGACTGAAGATTCAGGCTCCTGCCCACCACAGAGGGCCCTGAACACAGTCTGAGCCTGCAGTGGTGGAGGAGGGAGGCTTCTCATTGAAGCTGTGCCACTGCGGAGCAGGTAACGGAGGGAGGGCGAGTGAGGGCAGACCTAATGCTTGGGGTGCTGGGGCAGGCGTCCTAGAGCCTGTTTCCTGCCCTGCGGCTTTGCTCTGCACCTTATCCATTGACCATTCGATAAAAAATACCTAAAAA